GCCACTGCACTCCAGCCTGGGCAACAAGAGCAAAACTCCATCTCCAAAAATAAAAATAAAATAAAATGCTTCCTATCTAATTTAGCATGTCAAAATCCTGTTTACCTCTCTTTTGGATGCTTCAGGGGCCCTCTGTAATATTCCAGAATTAGAGGTCAGGAAAGACAATTTTGAAGATGAACTTTGATTTCAGGAGGCCTGTCAAACATGTTAAAGGTTTAAAACACTTGATATTATAAAGTAGGATTCCAGGTCACAATAAGTCATTCATTTAGTCAAAATGATGACTCAAACATTTTCAAAAAGCGAAAACCTTTACTAATTGATGGAGGGAAGATTTAGCTTTCCAAACAATCTGTCTCTTGTCTTTCCCTTGTTTTGCCTGTTGTTTATTCAAAAGGCAAACAAAAATCTTTCATTATCCTTTAATATTACATGAAAATCTTGTTCAAGAGAGAAAGCCAAATTTCATCCTTGTATAAGTGCACTGTTAATGTCAACTCAATTTTTTAATAAAACATTATAGAAAAAACTATTCAGTCTTTATTTATTTTTTATTTTTTATTTTTTTGAGACGGAGTCTCGCTCTGTCGCCCAGGCTGGAGTGCAGTGGCGCGATCTCAGCTCACCTCTGCCTCCCAGGTTCACACCATTCTCCTGCCTCAGCCTCCTGAGTAGCTGGGACTACAGGCGCCTGCCACCACGCCCAGCTAATTTTTTGTATTTTTAGTAGAGACGTGTTTCACCATGTTAACCAGGATGGTCTTGATATCCTGACCTCGTGATCCGCCTGCCTCAGCCTCCCAAAGTGCTGGGATTACAGGCGTGAGCCACCACACCTGGCCAAACGTTAGCAAAAAATGGACAGCTATTCAGTCTTAATCAATTTGACCATAAGGTGAGATTCTCATAAACCTTGTATAACCCTTTACAAATTGTTGTTAAAGAGTACATCGGTGCTCTCAGAAAACCCTATTTGGCTTTCATTCCAATGTTCAATTTAAATTTAGTCAATATGTTCACACATAGAATTTCTTTCACAAGATTAATTTTTCACAAACCTTCCACAACTTGCTCAAACCTTTAGCTTTATCCTACATAATTTAAAACAATCCTTTAACCCTGTAGACTAGGCAAAAATTTACATTCCCATGCCTTCTTGTAATCTTTTAGTAAAAGCGCATTTCAGTTTCCTCACACACCTTTCAAATAAAACTGTTTTTTCCCACAAGTCTCAATTACATGTTACAATGTTAACTCTTACCAATTTTTTTTTTTTTTAATGAAAAATCTGGTAAGTAAGTAATTGTAATTATGTACTAGGTGTGGAGCCCAGGACACCAGACAGAAGTACACATAAAGTCTGACTCTTTCCAGCATTACCAGGTGGAATGGCTAACTACACATGTCCTCAGACTCGTAGACTCTTAATGGCTCCAAGCAGGTAAGATTGTTTTAATTTCAAAGGTTAAAAGAGCAGTTTTATTACCTTTAAAGAATTTATAAGCAAATCTATGCCCGGGCGCACGGTGGCTGCCACACCATACTAATACCCAGCCGTTTGCGGAGGCCAAGGCGGAGTGGATCATGAGGTCAGGAGATGAGACCGAATCCCGGCCTAACAGGGTAAAACCCTGTCTCTACTAAAAATACAAAAATTTAGCTGAGCCTGATGGCGGGCTGCCTGTTCCAGTTACACCCTGGAGGACTGGCAGCGCAGAAGAATGCGCGGGTGAACCAGGCCAGGAGGCAGAGCTTCGCAGTGAGCCGAGCGCGAGCCACTGCCTCTCTAGCCTGGGCGACAGAGCGAGGACTAAGGCCTCTCAAAACAAAAAAAAAAATACTTCAG